CTCTCTCTCTCTCTCTCTCTCTCTCTCTCTCTCTCTCTCTCTCTCTCCCCCTCTCTCTCGCTCTCTTTCCCTCCTGTGCTGCTGCTGTTTCTGTTTGCTGCTGCTGCTGCTGCTGCTGCTGCTGCTGTGCCGCTGGAGCTGAGTTAATGCACATGCATGATCCACACTCCCTCCCCTTCGTCTCCCCTGTTTTCGTTTTCTCTCTCTCTCCTTCTCTGCTTGTCTCTCCTCTGCACACACACACACACACACACACACACACACACACACACTGAGAGATAGACATATATACTCATGAAATAAAATGAGAAAATCTCCCAAGCCCTGCCCAGTCCCCTCTGCTGCTGTTCAGTGTGGCCCTGTGTGTGTTAGTGTGTGTTTTTGTGGTATAACAGGGCTCCAAGGGGGGGGGGGGTGTATCATAGAGCCAGGATGATGAGGTCACACCTTATGAAAGTAAATTACTGCTTGCTGAAGGAGGGAATGAGGAAGACTACTTATTACACTGTACTATCAGGACTATAACTGTAGTAGGAGCTTGTAATCCATTAATGTTGATAGGCATGCTCATCCATAAACAGAAAAGCAGGATCCATTAATAACAGTCTCATAAATAACCAACACACATCAACACGCACTCTTCAAGGCAAGTAAAATGTATCTCACACAAACACACATCTGAGCAGTCTGCTATTCTCACATCAAACAGAATCCCATGGGGGACTGTCTCAGTGTACGTAGCCATGCAGAAAAAATATTCTCCTTCAGTCACTGTCTTGAAAGCCCCCTGTGATTACAAGTGAAAAACTACATACTGATGAACCTTCAAGGTCAGTAAGCTGCCTCTTCCCCAGTCAGGGCTTCACAAAACAGTCTTTTGCATTTAAAAATAGATCCTGCTTCTGCATAAGGATAATACTGCACCATGCAGGTAATTGAGATACCACACCTTAACCCATACCTCAAAGGCAAAGGGACAGTGGAACAGTGCACAAGTTAATTTGGAGGTGGAGATCAATGCTGACAGCATCACCAGCATATGAAAAGAGCATGATGGTATGGTGGAGGGTAGTGATTCTCCACGACTGGGCTACTGCACTGCATGGATGTTATCTGACAAGAGCTGAGCATCCCCCGTTTAATGTACAGAATGAATCAGGCGCATTTTCTCTGTGCTCAATTTCAAATTAGAGATGCACTGATATCAGTATCGACTTCGATACTGGACATTGATTCAAATAGCCGGATCGGGTATCAATGACAATAGGCCAATCTCGTATTGCAATACCATTATTTAATTGATAACTTATGAAATTATTGAAAGCAATAATTAAGAAAGCAGTGTTTAAGTCGGCCTGATGCTCCATTGCACATAAAAGAATGATCCCAGTTACATCCACAGAGTGAGGCATACAGCTTATCAATTAAACACTGGTATCTGATCGGTACTCGGTATTGGCAGCTTCAGTGCATCCCTTCTTGGGGTGAGAGGTTGTGTATAATGTGATGCCACCAGTGCACACACACTGATAATGGATGTTATAGTGAAGTAAGGGACATGTTGTGTCTGACACATTTGCATATTCACAGAGTGGATACATTTTGTATTTTTAAATTACAAAGAATCCCACCCACCCACTACTCTTTGCCAGCTTGCCGGTCCCCATTTCCAAAAAGGCTTGAGAACCACTATCATATTCTCTCTCTACGCTATTTGATCGGGATGTTTTAAGTACTTTATTTTGAACCAGTTGTCAAAGGACGCTCTATATGCCTATGGGGCAGGTGGTAATTGAATTTAGAAATGGATTGTGAACCATGAAAGATTGTGAATCACAACAAGCATTATCCTACTTGGCTGATACTGCATAACATCCGCTCAGGATTTATGGGTTTCAACGTTGAAATAATTCAATCAAGGTTAATATTCTGATCCTGACCTCCCTATTGACACTGTGTTTTTATAACTGCAAGCTTACACACTGACATAACAGATTTGCAGTGAACTTTTATTCCGATGAACTAGATAAAAATGAAAAAAAGCACCACAGTCTTTCTGTACTAGTTTCCTGATTCTCACTTCCATGAGAAAGGTGAGAGGAGAACCTTACCCTCAAACTGCCGGATTTCAATATTGTACAATCTCTCATCCGCCTCCACAAACCTCCCACTGCAGGTTTGGAAGAGTGGCACAACCAGCTATTCTGTCCACTAGTATCTACCTAAACCATAACTGCCCATGTTATTTGATGGGCACGGGCATTGATCTATTTAAAAAGGATGTTTAAATATCTTCCACTCACAGACTGCACATTGCCTCTATTCCCTGATTTGTAAGTATCAAGTCTTTCCTACTAAAATGAGTTTGAAGTCAGCAACACTAACAGCCCATCCCTTCATTCCTACTTCCAAAGCCACTCCCCCAAAAGTACCAATATGAACGTAAACATATCATAACGAACATTAGTATGCACAGCTGTCAAGCTAGCGGCTTGTGGAAGACTGTGTTGATGCACAATGAGTGCATGGCAGGCAGGTAGACAATCAATTCATTCCCAGGACCCTGACCCGTGACAGCCACAGATACTGGATCTTTTTTTTCTGCTTGAACATTTGATTCATTGATTGCCGTCTGGATCTAATAAGAATTTACAAATACAACAAAAATGTTTTTGAAGATTACCAACCCTACCTTTGGGTAGGATGTTCCTAGAACTACTGTCAGATCAAGAAATACGTATAATAAAATGTTCAAGTCAATGCATTATTCAAATAAACTCTATGGTAGAAACTACAGAAGGATAGATGACTGCATGACGTTTGTGGATCATCCTTTGTTTATATCCAAGTGTCCATGCTAATGAGAGAGTGGATGAGCTCTAAACATTATTTTCACAGTCACAAGGCAAAGCACTAAATTATTATTAATAAGAGCTTTCTCTTCCTATAAAAATATCTTATATTTCATTAATTTGGAGCCTAAAATAATCAGCATGAAGCAACTGCTCCCTGCTTGGGATCTGATAACTGAAGGAGTGTCCTTTCATGCTTTGACTTTGTGTATCTACCAGAGCAATGGATCAGCTCTCTAGGGTTTCCTTTTGTCTGTAAGGGAAGCCATCTTGGTTTGCTGTGCCTTAGACCATCACCTTTTGACATTTGCTGTTTCACGGCAGAGAGAGTGATCATCTATAATGCCATCAGGGAAGGAATGCCTTCCATTAATTAAAAGCAGCAACACCTTTGGATGTAGAGAAATGTATTGATCACAAGCTTGAGTATGTTGCACACATTTTTTTTTCATGGTGGTGCACTAAGTAATGCTCTAATCACTTTCACTAAGTGTCATAATGTACATGCAATACATTATCTACATTATATTTAAATAAAATAGTGGTTACTAACCTCCCTCCACTGTTCTACAACCAGAATCAGACATGCTTTACTACAGGCATAAAAATGTAAATAATATGGATTTTGTTATTATCCCTGGCATTACCTGTATATGTAAACTTGTGAAAAAATCTCCTAATGTCTCTCAAATGCATTTATTTTAGTCCAATAGGCACTTGATGCTCCTTTGCACTTGAGACCTTTTAAATCAAACATGATCTGAAAGCAGTTTCTAAATAAAGCTGTGTATTTGCTGTATTGTACCCAGAAAAACATGAAGATTTGGAAAAAATGAAAATGAGCAAAAAGGGTAATATTTAGTGTGAAATTATATTATCAGTGAAAATACAGAAATTAAACAGTTTTATCCAAATCCTTATTAGCTTTAATGTATTATCTACCATTACATCTATTCAGCATCAGTCCTATTACTGTTCCATAGAATAAATAGTGTATTTTCAGGACACTGAAAAAGAAAGGCCTATTAGAGTGAGATATGATCTAATGTATAGTAACATGCCATCACACTGTGTAACCTCTTTTATTCTTGCAGGAGTCAAGGACACCATCTGGCTGCACTCCGCATGACACATGAGATGTCAGATGTCAGACTGGTGTGGTAAACCACATTATCATCCAACATCTGCCTCCCCAGTGAACATACCTAGATATTCTCTCCTTGCACTACATCCTAAATCCTTTTTGTATAATGGTATAAACAATATGTATTACATGTGATTAATTGTCTTATATAATATGGAAGGTAAATCAGTAAAAAGCCTAGAACCAAGGAAAACTACAACATCCATGCTTTACTCGGAAATCCATGTACAGGGTGTTTTACATTGTATTCACAGGATTATACTGTGGAGTATGTGGGATACAACCATGAATGGGAAAACCCACCACCCCCTGCTACAACTGCAAGATCCTAGCATTAAATGCATCTAAATGCATCTTGGAAAGATGAAGGAAAGGCCTCACATGTCAAATCCCATGCTGTGTTTGGTAGTGATATTTTAAATACAATGGACATATGTTCATGAGACGAACAAGAGGTTAAAGCTCAGCAATAATTAAACTCACACACACTAACACATGCTCACCGGCACTCACAGCATGTACAAGTCATACATACACACACAAATAGTGATTTGAAATTTGATGGCAAAAAAATACTACTTTCAAATGTAAGAATCTCTTAAGTATTTGCTGTAACATCCCTGACCTCATATGCTTTTGACCAATATACAGAAACGAGATGCAGCCTTTCACTCACTATGGAGGTCAGGGGGGACACGTCGAAAATGAATGAGAAAATTATGTTTAGTGTTCTGAACTGCCAAGGTTACTGTTCCTCCTGAACCTATAGGAACCTATAGCATAGACAGTTTTGGACACGTCTGATTGTAACCATGGACATACCATAACCAGAATATAGAGTAAAAAATAGCATTTTTTTTACAGAGGAACTGACCAGATTTATGCTACTGTTTAAAGTAAAATATTTTTCTATGTCAGTTTAAAACGTGTTAGTAATAAATATGTTTCTTACCTAAGAAACTGATCTTCAGCAATTATCTTCTAAAATGGAAGTCCAACAGAGGCAAACTGCATGTAATCCAGTAACTTACACAGAGGAACTGTGCTGAACTCTTTCTTCTCCTGTGTCCCTCTTTCAGCAAAAAATGTTTGCCTCTCCAGAAAGGAAGGCTGCACTTTCCTCTTTTGAAGGAAACTCCTGATAAGTTCCTTCCTCTGCACTACAACAATAACTGCATTCAAGCAACCAGGGGCACTGGGATCACATCCTGTGTTTGAGGTAAAACACTGCTTTCACAAAGCCTTACACCACAGATTGTGTTTCTTTAACACTTGTTAATACATTTAATGTGACCAAGAGTGTGATAATATATAGTGCAGAATTAAATCATCACAAAAAAGTCAGTCTAAAAGTCTTTTGAAGACTGTATTTATCAAATCCATGTAAAAGTGGTGGTATATTAGAATTCACACATCTAACATTTTGGCATATCTAACATTTTCTCTGAAACAGTTTAAGTTTAGTTTCATGGGTTAGGCATCTCAAAGGGGTATAAAAAAACTGCTTTGCCAAAATGACCACATTCTCCATCTTCATTCCCACATTCAAGCCAAATTTGAGCTACATTGTAGATAATGTGACAGTTAGTGATACACGTATATAATTAAATTGTATTTTTTCTTCTAAACAGTATTACAATATCCTGTTTGTTCAACACAACTGAATGATAAACTGTAATTGTCTAATCACAACACATACGTATCTATTATTCATGCTTATCTATTACAACGGACATACAGTTATGTGTATTTCATGTCATGACTGTTTGGTTTAGATAAAAGCAGCTGTAGACTATAAACTAGTCAATACAGCTTTGTCCAAATCCAGCACATTCTCACTCCCAACTCGGCAAATGCTGACACTTGGTCAGTGGCTCTAAGCTTCAAGCTATGGCGCTGTAGGCACCACTCTACGCCTCGTGTTAGTTTTGGACAAGGCAGGGATGCCATGTCAGTTTCCTCTCGTTAAAGGAATAGTGTCTTTTCAAGATGTGACTAATGACTAATGTGCAAAAATGTCAAAATTGACCTTAAGTTTCACACAGGACCCGACTCACGGTCTCTGGAATGAAAGTCCTATGTTTGTTTAACCCCTCCCCCTCCCATACCACTGGACCTGTGCAAACTATCTCACTCTTTATATTACGCTGTTGTTTTGACAGTTTTATAATGACACAGTGGGTTTACGTTGGAGTTAGTTCAAAGACCAAGGGGCACTGACCAACAGTAAGTATTTAATGATTTGGGAGTGAGACCAGGTTGCCAAATCCTGTGTATCTTTGTCATTTTGTTCATGAATGTTTTGGAATTCTCCACTTTCGAGTGTAAATGTTAGCTATATAACTATGAATTCTATAAAATCAAATTCTTGTTGTATGCTTTTCACTTTAACTGTTAGTTGTGTTGTATTTTAAGACAGGCTATTTTGTTTATTGCATATTTTTAGATATGCAGCGTCAATGGATGATATCTGGGAAGAAGAGGAACGATATACAGGACAACTGAGATAATATCTTTCCTTTGCTAAAGCTCTGAGGTAGGATGTTTGTTTTTTTCTCATTACCAGCTGTTTAATGTTGTGGAATATTGAGAGCGTACACAATATTTTTAATTCAGTGGCCTCTTAAGCTTCGTCATGACCTTATGAAAATTCATGAAATTATATGGTCTGTAATAGACATGGACATTCAGACATCATTCAGAGTGATTTAAACTTCTTTAGATCATCATTATCCAAAACTTGACTATAACCAGAACTTCAGAAAATCTGAAGTTGACATTACAGCCCGTTTAAGGAGCTCATTTGTGTTCTTTGTTGGTTCTCAGGGAAAAGATGGTGAGGGATTGGGACGAGCAGGAGCAGACTGGATGGAGATGAGGACAGAAAGGTGAAGAGAGATGGACCTGAAAAACACTATCACCTGTACACAGGTGGAAACTGCTACAGTCAAATTACGAGATTTTTATATAAGAATAATTAAGTGTATGTACATTTTTTGTTGTTTTTTTGCATCACGATCCTTGCAAAAAATTCTGGAACAGCTGGAGAACAACACGGAGGCTTGTCAGAAGCAGCTCGAAATATTGTCCTATGTATAGTACACCATAATAATTGCATAGTATAGTATGTCATAAAACATTTCATAGTATAATATACCAAATAAATATAAAAAATGTATTTGATCAGTATGTCAAAAAAGTCATAAAAAGCCTAGTATAGTATGTCATAGACATGTTCTATCAATATCATAGTATAGTGTGGCATAAAAGAGTCTCAAAATGTCAAGAAATATCAAAGTATATAATGCCATAAAAGAGTCATGAAAGATATTATAATATTGTAATGTCCCACTTATGAGTCGGAGACAAGAGTGAAGTCCATGCATGAACTGGTTTATTAACGTAAACCACACAAAACAGTGCCGAGCAAACTTACATAAGTGAACACAAAGTTTCATACAGTTTTACAACTCTTCTTCATCTGTCCCGGTCCAATAACCCTTCCTAGCTCATGTCACAGAGCAGGTAACCCCCCCCCTCTGCTCTACCAATCACAGGCGCGCACCTTGACCAACACGTACAGTGCATACCCGTGATTGGCCAGAGAGAGGGAGATGACAGACTGACTCCTCTAATACAAAACTCAAGACTGTACAGGTTCGCTACAATAGTCTGATATAAAAAAGTAATACAAAATATCATCGTACAGTATGCCATAATACTTTTTCATAGCTTTTTTCCACATGCTAAACTAAGATTTCTTTATGATTTTTTTAATATACTTTACTGACTTTTTTTGACGTACTAAACTAAAAAAAATGTAAGGCTTTTTTGACATACTCTTTTTTTCGCCATGCTATATTATGACTTTTTTGACTTTTTTCGACATGCTATATATGACTTCTTTCGACATGCTATACTATTGTATTTTTTTACCATACTATACGATGACTTTTTTGGATATACTATTCCATGAATTGGTTATGAATTTTTGACATATTTTTCAAAATAGTGTAAATGACCTGGGTGTATGATAAGTAAGAAATCGGTCCAACACATTCTGGGTATTCCTCATAAGTTTATTGAAGTCCCAACACCGAACCAGACAAGCCAAAACCAACTTCTCCTCTTTCTCCTCTTTCATTACTTCGCCCTATAACCTCTAGCCGGCTAAACAGCACCAACTAGTACCGATATCTGCTATCAGATCATCAACTTAACATAACTGTAAATAATAAATATGTGTACACAAAATAATAGACAGGAATTCAATATCATACTAAACAATTGTTGAAACCTGTGTTTTTTGGCTTTTTTTAGAAATATGATACAATTTACTTTTTATTTGACTTCTTGACATGCTATGTGACTTTTTTCTGGCCTTTATCAACATGCTATACTTTGGCTTTAATCGGCAGATGACTGACTTTTTTCGACATTCTCTTTGGGCTTTGTTTGACATATTAAATTATGGATATTTTTTCTCGACATACAATATTATGGCTTTTTAAAGACTTTTTTGAAATGTTATACTATATTTTGTTTCTGGATGTTTTTCAATATACTGCACGATTATGAAAAGGACTTTTTGACATACTTTAATATGACTTTTTTCCGTCTTTTTTTGGTCATACTAAACTTTTTTCACCATATTATAATATGACTTTTTTTAGACATACTATCACCTTTTTATAACTTTTTAAGACATACTATACAATCATTTTTATGACTCTTTTCAACATACTATATTACACTTAATGATTTTTCTGACATGCTAGTCTTCGATTTTTCTGTAATTCTTTCAACATGCAACACTATGCTTTTCAACATTGTATACTATGATATTTTCTGACATTTTGTGAAGACTTATACTATGACTTTTTTCTGACTTATTTTGGACATGCTATACCTTGACTTTTCTGACTTTTTTTGATATATTATAGACATATTTCTGACATTTTTCGAAAATACTGTACTGTGACTTTTAAATGACTTTTTTTGTCATATTATATGATGACTTGTTAATTACTTTTTTCGGTATAACAACCACTTTTTCATGATTTTTTATATGCTTCAATATGACCTTCTTACACTATGGCTTTTTTATGAATTTTTTTTGACTTGCTATACTATAACTTTTCAGACTTTTTTTGACATCATTTAGTATGACTTAATTGTGACTTTTTTGATATACGATACGAAGACTTTTTAATAACATGCTATACAACAAACTTCTCATGACTATTGATAACATACTTTTCGATTACATTTTTCCAACATACTATACAATTACTTTTTATTACTTTTTTGACATAATTTACGACTATTTTATAACTTTTTTCTTCCTACTATTCTTTCACTTTTATAGCTTTTTATTGCATGCTATACCATGACTTAATGTTATTTTCAACATCCTATACTGTGACTTTTTTATGACATTTCTGACATATTACTTTTTTATGACTTTTTAGACATGCTATACCATGACTTTTTATTCGTTTTTTAATTACTTTTTCATTATACTCTACTATGAATTGTTTAAGACTATTTTCAATATACTATGCAATGACTATTTTATGAGTAATTCTGACTTTTTTATTGACTGTACAATGACTTTTTTTCCCCAACATTATAGTATGGCATTAATTCGTGTCATAATTTGGGATACTATAATATGACTTTTTATTTTTTTATTTTTTTACATCCTACACTGAATTTTTTTAACATATCTACCACCTTTTATGATTTTCTTTCAACATGATATATCATGACTTTTATGAATTTTTTATGGCTTTTTTAACATATACATATATTAGTTTTTTGACATACATTACTATGACTTTTTTATGCCTTTTTGACATACTATGACTCAACACTGTTAATATACACCGTAGTGAAACCGGTGCAAGGCGTGTGCAGCAAAAAATGATATTACCACTGCCTGTGCGTAGAGAGTGAAGGCTCCACAAGTGGTCACGGCACAAATTTTGTAAGTTTAATATGTTAACTATACATAATGTAAAGAACTGTTGATGACTCAATGATGACTCAAGTTGGATTGATTAATGGATGATTGATATTGATAAAAACGTGGATAAAATGACTAACATAGAACGAAATACAGACGGACACAATCAAGTATTGCCTGTATCATATCACATGATTAAGGCACTTGCAAATACGGATTTCAGAAACCTTATACATTCTATAAATCGTTTTATTTAGTTTATTTGGCAGAATGCACACAAAAGAATAGACCCAAAGAAGCATGCCTTATCTCCATCATATCTGATCAAAACTATGCAACTCGCTATTAACACAGATTTTTTTTTTGCAAGTCTAAAAGTGACAGTTTCTTTGTTTTTTTGTTTTGTTTTTTACATTATCATAAGGTGAGTGTACAAAAGGACAGTGACAGGAAACAGAACAGGTGAGGATGGAAATGACACAGGATTGGGAAGCGAAACATGTTTAAAACAAATGAAACAATGCATATTTTTCGGAAATGTTACACAATCAGAGGATGAATAAAGTTTCTTAAAAAATGAACAGCACTTCAGAGAACTGATAGTTTCCAAACAGTGATTGTCTTTGCAAATACGGTATATACAACACCGTTACTCTTCAGAATGGGTTATAAAGGGCCACCTCTATGTTGCCTAAATATGCTTCTACACAGATTATATAATTACAAAGCTTGAAAATAAAATCATTTCATACATAAAA